ACTAAATATCTTAGCTCTAGCTCTTTGAGTTCTTTAAAAGAAGCTTTTTACTATATGCATATAGAGAAAATCAATGACCCCCTGGGGCGTGGTCAATTTTGACCCAATGGCTTTTATTTGAACAAACTTGGTAGACACCCATTAGAACATGTTTCATGCTAAATATCTTAGCTCTAGCTCTTTGAGTTTTTTAAAAGAAGCTTTTTACTATATGCATATAGGGAAAATCAATGACCCCCTGGGGCGGGGCCAATTTTGACCCCAGGGCTTTTATTTGAACAAACTTGGTAGACACTCACTAGAAGATGTTTCATGTCAAATATCTAAGCTCTAGCTTTTAGGGTTTTTTAAAAGAAGATATTTAAAGTTTTTTCTTTCGGTTGCCATGGCAACTAGAGTTCTGCATGGAATTAAATTCTTTGAACAACTTTGTTAAGGCTTCACACAAGGAACATACCTGTGAAGTTTCATTATGATCTGCCTTATGGTTTCAGAGGAGATGTCGTTTTAAAAGTGTGAACGGACAACGGACGACAGACGACGGACGAAGAGTGATCCTAATAGCTCCCCCTGAGCATATGCTCAGGTGAGCTAAAAAATCAACAAAGGGCCATAATTATGTTAAATTTGATTGCAGCAAAAATTCCTTCCTTTACTACCATCTACACATTAAGGTTGTTCATCCCTGGAAGTTTAAACAAAATCTGCCATCCGGTTTAAGAGGAGTTGCGTTCACAAAATTTCTACATACTATATAGTGAAAAAATCAACAAAGGGCCATAATTCTGTAAAATTTGGTCGCAGCAAAAATTCCTTCCTTTACTACCATCTACACATTAAGGTTGTTCATCCCTAGAAGTTTAAGCAAAATCTGCCATCCGGTTTAAGAGGAGTTGCAGGCTGTCAACCAGGTCTTACCCAAAATAAAGGAGGAATATAGGAATATTTTAGCAGGAAATATAGGAGTTTTTGGACAATTTTGAGGCAAAAAAATAGGAGTGTTTAACTTACCAATGCTTATATAAATGTAAATTATTCTTACCTTTACACATGCTGTTTCTACAATAAAATGTCTACTGTATAAGTGAAGGAAACCATTAGCAGGCTGTCCAGCACCTTTCGACATAAAATTAGGGCGAATTTTAGGGTCATATTTCAGAAATTTTAAGGGCTAAAATTAGGAATTTTAGGGTACGTAATAAAAATTTTAGGGCTGAAATTTGCAATTTTATAACTAAATAAACTAAGGTCCCAAAGGACCATGATATGGGCTTACCTTTGCATATTTGACACAAAAATAACTTATAAATAATGCTCTAGTTTAGTTAGAGCAAAGGTGCTACCAGTGTGGACTCACTGGTCAACTGCCTCCCCTGCGGAAATGGTCATAGTCAAATCATGTTCAAACCATATTTTTTAAAATGGCTAAACATGTCAAAAAAAAAGAACACGTTCTACCTATGTTTTGGGAATGTTATAACCACAATGTCTAAAAGGAATTCTTATACAGTGAAATTCTTGCACAATGCAGCTTTTGAATATGGACAAATGAAATTTTTTGTAAAGGTAGGAAGTATAAAGGCATTTGCCTTAGTACAGTCATTTGAATAAATGGAAAGCATCTATAATCAACACAAAGAATTGCACATCAAAAAAAAGTTCATCACAGACCATTCAATTGCAGTTTATCTAGATAACATAATTGCAAAATGTGTGTACATTGAAATTGGAAATGAGCTTTATATTACTGAACTGTCAAATTATTTTGAGTGTGATTAATTATGAGTCTGCCTTTTCCTAAATTGCACCATATGAATGAAAGAACAAGAATTGAATGAAATTGGTAACTTTGTGGCAAAATAAGCCATTTCTCCTACAAAGACATCGAAAAGAATAAATAAGTATGAGAATTAATTTTTCAAAGTCTACGTTAACCCATTTAGTACTTTACAATGTTGTTTTGATATTATGCAGATTTAAATAAAAGAGTTGTGAGTAAACAAATTGTACATTAATTTTTGACAACTATTTATACATGTTTTTAATTAAGATTGTGTTACAACAGCTTCATAATGATCATTTTCAAATATGATATGATATAAATGGACCACTTCAGAAATTTGGATAAAATGAACAAACATAAAATTCAAGATATCTGGAGTTGGCAAAACAGTGTCAAAATATTCCAGAATAAGTGGACTCTTATGGTTATGATTTGAGTTTCAGGACCATGATATGGTAGTATTTTTGCTGTTAACTGTCAACATGATTATCAACAACTGCTTTGATTATGAAATAGCAATGTTACTGACATAGTCAAAGTAAATTTTAGTTGAAACCAAACCATTTGAATGTCATCAATTTTGAGTTGGCAAATCATGGCCAAATCATTTTTGACCATGTTCAAAGCATGGTATACTTAGTTATGTCCGTGATTATTTTGACAGGGTTACAAGTATGTTTATAACAAAAGATAAAAAAAAATAGAAATTTCAGTAAAAACAAAGGGCATTTTTAGGAATTCCCTTTGAATTTTTCACTTTTTTAGGAATTTTAGCCAAACTGAAAAAAAATCAGGGTTTTTTTTATGAATTTAAGGGACGCTTGACAGCCTGCATTAGCTTTGAACCACAGCATCAGCATCCCGGCAGAAAGTTACAGCAATGCATGACCATCATCTGAATGGTCACCTGAAATAAAGTTGACATACTGATGCACTGCTTTTCATGGTGACCATGCAGATGGCTATGAGGAGCACAGCAGCCTTGAGCATAGTAATGTGATGCTGATGCAGGCATAGACATTATCTTACCTGTAATATACAAAAGGCCAAAAGCAGTACCAAAATTTAAATCTCTTTGAATTCCTCGGCAATATATTTTAAAAAAAATATAGGAAAAATATTCAAAATATAGGAGAAAAATAGGAGGTTTTTTAAAATATAGGATTTTGACCCAAAATATAGGAGTTTTATAGGAATTGGTTGACAGCCTGGAGATGCGTTCACAAAATTTCTACATAGTATAATAGTGAAAAAATCAACTAAGGGCCATAATTCTGTAAAATTTGGTCGCAGCAAAAAATCCTTCCTTTACTACCATCTACACATTAAGGTTGTTCATCCCTGAAAGTTTAAGCAAAATCTGCCATCCGGTTTAAGAGGAGTTGCGTTCACAAGATTTCGGGACGTACGGACGGACAGACGGACAAGTGCAACGCTATATGCTTCCACACAGTGGGGGCATAAAAAATGGTTGTTATGAATTCATTGATTGCAATGAAAAGTTCAATACTAACCGCAAAATGGTTTTCACATACAAAAGAGAAAAACGGAATCCCTTAAGAACGCCCAAAACGAAGCATTGAAAATGTTGCAGGCTCGGTTTAATTGAGTGATCATCAATCAATTAGTTCTGTAGAAAAAGATGTTTACAGGTTTTTCTATTTCTATCTCTAGACACCCCTAAAAGGGGCCAATCAAATTAAAACTTGAACTATCACTAAATGTGATTAATACCCCTGCAAGACTGCTTTTGAAATGAGGAAGTTACTAGTCACTAATACTATGCAAAAGAATTAAATAGAGTTATGGTTGTGGGCAATTAAAGATAGTTGTGGTTCTTGTATGTTGCATTTCCTTTTAATGTGGTTGACTATTGATGAAGTTTTATTGAATTACTCTGTAATAAGTCCAGAAAGAGTTACGCTTCTTGAGCACTGCACTTCCCCTCATTGCACTTGACCATTCATTGTATGAAGTTGCATTAAACATTAGTTTTTAAGTTATGCACCGGACAAGGAAAAAGAACAAAGGGCAATAACTCTACAAATACTGAAAATGGAGTTATGGTTATTGTACACTGCACTTCCTCTCATTGCTCTTTACCATTGTATGAAGTTGTACTGAATTCCAACTACTAGTTTGCACTGGACAAAAAAGTAACAAAGGGCAATAACTGTAATTTGTCCAAATACAGTTATGGTTCTTGTGCACTGCACTTCATCTCACTGCCCTTGACCATTGTATGAAGTTTCATTGAATTCTAACCATATATTTTCAAGTTATGCACTTGCCAATTAAAAGTACCAATGGGCAAAAACTCTTAAATGAGTCAAGAATTATTGTTTCTGTGCACTGCACTTCCTCTAAATGTGCTTGATCATTGTATGAAGTTGTATTGAATTCCAACCATTAGTCTTCAAGTTCTGCTCCGGTCAAAAAAAGCAATGGAAAAGTAACAAAGGGCAATAACTCTGTAATTACTTTAGATAGAGTTATGGTTCTTGTGCACTGCACATTCCTTTATTGTGCTTGACCATTGTAAAGTTGTTTTGAATTCCAACCAGTAGTTTTCAAGTTATGCTCCAGACAAGGAAAAGTAACAAAGGGCAGTAACACTCTGTAATTAGTCAAGATGAAGTTACATGTATGGTTCTTGTGCACTGCGCTCAATGTGCTTTATCATTGTATGAAGTTACATTGAATTCCAACCATTAGTCTTCAAGTTATGCTCCGGATAAGGAAAACGCAACGGACCGCTGGACCGACCATCCGCCGAGTGACTCCTATATACACCCCTAACTTCGTTTAGAGGTTATAATGAGCAAATTTGATAAAAGACTACATGAGAATGCTACAGACTAATTTTAATGATCATCCATCATTTAATTGAAGGTTTTCTATTTTTAGCTCTATTGACCCCTAAAAGGGGCCAATTGAAATGACATGAGCAAATTTAAGTTGGACTGTCACAGACCAAATTTGAGGTAAATCTGCCCATCAGTTTCAGAGAAGACGATTGTTGATGCATGACGCCGGAGTAGCCCCCTTTGATACTAATAGCTCACTTGAACCTTCAGTTCTGGTGAGCTAATTGAAAAAAATATCCCTTTCATTTTAGATGGCCCAGCATCTCCTGGATTACTTATTTGATGCTCTCACTTTTGAGATGTGGGCGGACATTAATGAACTAACAATACAAAGCACAAAGAAAACAGACTGGACTTTCTGGTGTTTATTTTTTTTCATTGTTTACATGGTAAATACAACTTAACGAGCTGCTCCACCAGTCTGTCCTGGCCTTGGTGCACCACCGTCCTGCTGTAAGAGAGGGAAAAAAATCATTTTATAAGACTATACATCAGTGTATAATACAGATACAATATCATCAAAGCAGCTTATCAAGATTGATGCTATTTCCATTAACATTTAAAACATGCATTAATAAGTAAAATATTGCGAACAAAAAGTACTTTACACACTGCAAACATTTGCAATCCAGGTAAATTACCAAAAAGAGGCCAAACTAAGCAAAAAATAGTTCTTACTGGCAACTGCTTTAGTAACACAGTATAGTGATATATACTGCAATACTGTTTTGATTACAAAATCAGTCCTTAATTGCACATAACATGTAAATTATTACCTTCAATCTTAAATCACTTTTACTTTTCTTAACATCTTAGTACATGTTTATGTTTTCTTAAAATACTTTGACTCATCAGGCTGCAGCTTTCACAGTTGCACAGTTAATATACATACAAAAGTTATTAACCATTCCTATCTTCTACTTGAGAATTATCAGTTAACACCATTTACAGTTTGTTTTTTTTGTTTTTTTTTTTAATTCTGAAGATTTTACATAGAATCTGAATCAGACAAGACAAATCAGGAGAAATTTACTAATAATTAAAGCACAGAAATACTATTTCTAAACCTTACAGAGCAAGTTTTTATTATTAAACTACTGTTTAAGTTGATATTTATGGGTCACAAAAATTTTGCGAATGTTAAAAAGTGGACTTTTTGTGTGCTTAAAATTTTTATATTTGCGAAAATGTGATTTCTTGAATTTAATACTGTTGGGTGTTTTTATGATAACATTAAGTAGGTACATGTTAAGAATATGCCGTTACTGTAATCGGTCTATTCAGTTGTTAAATACTTTTATTATTTATATAGTTGCTTGAAAATCCATTGCTAGTTTGTTAAGACTTGATCACACATTTTTTGTCATATTCTAAACATTCTTTTGTTGTATGAATAACCTATTGTGTTATAAACACATACATTGTATTTTGTTTCAGTTAAACATTTGTGATTTGTTAAGACCAAACTTAAACAACAAGCAATGAGAAAAACTAGACCTATCACTGAAGGTGATTAATACCCCCACCAGCAACTTTTTGAAAAATAAGTAGTCTGAAGAAAAATTTCAACACAAACTATCAACTGTGTACAAAGAAATATTTCAATTAATTGTAATCCCAACTGGGGTCTCCAAATAAGCTTGCTTTTCACAAAGTTTGATTACAATATCTCATTCCTAACTCTAGTTATTGTCCGGAAACCATTTTTCTATTTTTAGGAATGGTGACCTTGACCCCAGGGGGTCCAAATGCAATACCAACCCAGGTCTTCATATAAGCTTGCTATACACCAAGTTTGATAACAATATCTCATTCCTAACTCTAGTTATTGTCCGGAAACCATTTTTCTATTTTTAGTAACGGTGACCTTGACCCCAGGGGGGCCAAAAACAATACCAACCCAGGTCTTCATATAAGCTTGCTATACACCAATTTTGATTACAATATCTCATTCCTAACTCAAGTTATTGTCCGGAAACCATGTTTCTATTTTTAGTAACGGTGACCTTGACCTTGACCCAAGGGGGTCCAAATGCAATACCAACCCAGGTCTTCATATAAGCTTGCTATACACCAAGTTTGATAACAATATCTCATTCCTAACTCTAGTTATTGTCCGGAAACCATTTTTCTATTTTTAGTAACGGTGACCTTGACCTTGACCCCAGGGGGTCCAAAAACAATACCAACCCAGGTCTTCATATAAGCTTGCTATACACCAAGTTTGATTACAATATCTCATTCCTAACTCAAGTTATTGTCTGGAAACCATTTTTCTATTTTTAGTAACCATGACTTTGACCTTGACCCCAGGGGGCCTAAATGCAATACCAACCCAGGTCTTCATATAAGCTTGCTATACACAAAGTTTGATAACAATATCTCATTCCTTACTCTAGTTACTGTCCGGAAACCATTTTTCTATTTTTAGTAACGGTGACCTTGACCTTGACCCCAGGGGGTCCAAATGCAATACCAACCGGAGTTTCCACATAAGGTTGTTATATACCAAGTTTGATTACAATACCTCATTTCAAACTCTAGTTATCGTCCTGAAACCATGATGTGGACCGACCGACGGACGGACCGACCGACCGACAAGCTGACTCCTATATACCCCCCCTAAACTTCGTTTGTGGGGGTATAATTAATTTCGGTGCCTGAACAGTCAAACTTATTCATGTTAGATGCTGTATGGAAATATATTTCAAATGATAGAAGAAAGTTTACATAAAAAGAAATAACTTTTTGCACAATCAAATATTTGAAAATAATTTCAATTCGCAAAAATCACAAATATTTCCATGTCGTAAAAATTAACCACTTATACAGTCTTTCATAAATTTAATAATCAGAATCTTACTCTCAATGGTCTGAAACGAATTGGTGGAGTCCTGTCCTTACGGGCTTCACGTGATCTATTTCTGACTACCTTTGAGTGAATAGCACAGGAGACACAGTATAAAAGTTTAGCATATAGCTTGGGCAGGGCGTACACTGGAATAGAAAGAAACATACTTCATATTAACTGTTTCATCACCTCATTTACAGATAAATAATAATCATATTGAATAAAATAAAGTTTCAAGCTCAGGATTATTGTTGTCAAAACACATGAACAGAGTCTGTCTTTATTTTCTGGAATTACAAATGCTTATTCTGAAACATAAGCCGACAGTCCAAAAGCAGTAAACCTTGTTCAGAGTAACAAATATAAAGATTATTTAGTACAAGTATACCCTATTCTAGCCATAACATATTTCTTATGTTAGTATTATCTTGCTTATTTGTCCGCTTTCTTCTTTAAACAAGCAAACTTACTTTAAATAACAAAATGTGATACTTTCAAAAAATTTCTACATTACAATAAATTATGCATACATTTTATAATTCAACTCTAATGATGTAGACTGCTTGGAAACAAATTTTTTTTTTACTAAACTGCCAAATTTATAATATTTATTTACCTATCAGCAACTTAAAAAATAATTTTCAACTAAAAACTATAAAATTTATAAAATAATTACCATCGTATACACTAGCATCTGAGATATCTCTAACAGCAGCAGCTTCTACGATGTTTCTGATGACAAACTTCTTAATGGCCTTGTCCTTGGGCACACATCTGGCACAGTTTGTGCACCTTACAGGCTGCACATGGCCACGCCCCTTCTTATTTCGTCCGTTATTACGTCGCTTTGATGTCTGAAAATATTAAATGGTTTTATTAGTCTTATACTCTGTGTCTTTTTTTCACTGTTACTGTTCAAGGGGAATGGTGGCAGGGCCCATGGAGAGGGAGAAAGTTAGACAGTCAAGATATCTTTTTATAAATAGAGCGTTTTTTATAATGGCTGAAATTATGTCACAGATTAGAAAAGAAAAGAGCATGAAAGTAACTAATTGCTGAATATTGTTCTTTGTATCATTGTACCTGTAATCTCTAATTGTGATAGCATGAACCTTCAAAATATAAGTGTGACCTTGACTTTTGAAGAAGGGACGTGGTTCCTGGACGCAACAAAATGTTGTTATGTGATAGACACTTGTGACAAATTATTTCAAAATCCCTCAATGCATGACAAAGTTACAGTCTGGACATGATTTTTGTGTAAGTGGGGACACACGGACATGAGCCTTAGCCATGATATATTGTCTTGATGTGGTAGACATTTGTGCCAAGTTATTTTAAAATCCTTCTATGCATGACAAAGTTACAGTCTGTACATGAAGGTGTATCTTCAAACTCTTCTCGAGAGAACGAGTACGTTCAAACTATAAGTGTGACCTTGAAGGTAGGGGCATGGGTCTTTGCCAGGACACATTGTCTACATCGTGGTAGACATTTATGCAAAGTTATTTTAAAATCCTTCCATGCATCATAAAGTAACAGTCTGGACACAAATGTGTGTACCTATTTTCTCTAATTGTGATAATGTGAAACTTTAAAATGATAGTGTGACCTTGACCTTTGAGGTAGAGACGTTATTCTTGGATGAGACTTCGTCTTAATGTGGTACACATTTATGCCTAGTAATTTTAAAATCATTCAATGCATGACAAAGTTACAGTGCTGATCACGAGTTAAGTGGGGACGCACAGATGGACCGACGGTGATTATATTATGCCTCCTTTCAGGGGCATAAAAGCCTTCCTTCGGGGTCATAAAAAGGAACAAAGGAAAATAACTCCAAAATTAGGCAAAGCAGAGTTATGGTTTTTGTGCACTGCACATTTACTCAATGAGATCTATCTACCTACAAAGTTTCATGTTGATATCTCTTATATTTGAAAGTTATGACCCAGATAAAGTTCAAAGTATAAAATGAACAAAGGGGAATAACTTCAAAATTAGGCAAGGTAGAGTTATGGTTCTTGTGCACTGCACACCTACTCAATGAGATCTATCTATAACAAAGTTTCATGTTGATACCTTGTTGTTTCACTTATATCCCAGACAAGAATAGCGGATTGATGGACAAAGCGGTGACTATATGCTCACCCTTCGGGGAGCATAATAAAAGCTCTCAAACAATAAAGTTATCAATGTAAAATAAAATACAAAGATCAATCTATTTATTATTGGCTATACTGGTTAAGTGAAGCGCTTTACAGGTTCCAAATTTTTTAAAAGAAAAATATATCCGTTCACACTGGCTTTGCATGGGCAAATGTTTCGTTTCAAACTTCTGACTTGAAACACTTGCATTTGAATTAGCCAATCCGATTTCGTGCACTGTGTGACGGCGATTGTTAATCGGCTGTTTAAGGAATTTAATTAAATAAGAGGAATAAATCATGAATTTTCGGATGTGACAATTTGAAATTAATTTTTTAAAAGGTATTTATATTTTACTTTTGTTCACAAAAAGATCAAACTTAGTGTCAATATACGCTGTGTTAATTGTTTTTTCGTTCCGCCAGATTCTATTGTCATATTTATAGGACTATGGAATTTGCTACTCTTGTATAACTAATACTAATAGGGCTGTGTATTGTCAGGGTAGAGGCGATACGATATGATTCACGACACAGAGGAGCAATACGCTAGTTTGCGATACACCACTAAATGATTAAATAGTTAAAATGTTTGTCAAACTATCATCTTACATAAGACTTTATCATCCAGCCATTCAAATATATAGCAGAACATATTTACAAGGGAAACTTTGATATTATACTTCTTTAAAAGTGAACATTTAAATAGTACTCAAAAAAATATTCCTAGAATATCAACAATTAGATTTTTATTTTAGTTTTATTTTGAATATATATTAACATGTTGACAAAAAGATCAGGTTAAATAGAACAGGTAAAAATGTCTCGCTGTCTAGAAACAAGAACAGTTTTAAAATAATAATTAATAACTAGAAAATATCTAAGATATTACATTAAAGTTTATGTCATGGTATCAATACATGTACTTTTTTAAATTCAATTCAAAGTAGAATTAAATATTCATTGCATTTATTAACTAAGGCCAACATTTTTTTATAAAATGTTTTACGGGACCGCCGACCGTATTTTTAGAGAAAATCAAATAAAAATAAAAGTTCATTTAAGAACTTTTATTTTCATTTTGTCCGCCGACCTCTCTTACCCACTTCTGTCAAAATTAAAAGTTACTCGGTACTTAACTGTAGAATCTTGGTAAAGCAAAGAAACTTGCTTAAAACAAATGACAATTTAATCCCTTTGATGTTTACAAAATGTTACAGAAGGCGTAACAAAAGGGAAGGGCAATAACTTAACAAGCTTGTAATAAATTAACCCGTGTGAATATCACGCGACACCGGGTCATGAAAGGTCGCGGGGTCATGAAAGTTCGCTTTCAATACAACTATGGCAATTTGAGGAATAAATATTAGAGCATTTTATCACACATGATAGCCTGCAAAGCTGTTAGAAAGCACGATTGGGAAGTAACATCCATTGCATAAGTTGATTTGAATCATCTACACTTTCAGAACAGTTGTAAAAAATTAAATGGGCACGGGATCAAAGTCGATGATCGACTAAGGTGTCAGAATGAAATATTTACTCGATTTACCACGGAACATGAGAAAACTTTGAAACATTAAAATTTAGACTCATGTATAGGTTTTTATAAAAAATATAAGGGGAAAATCTGGACTTGCATTTTACTTTGACATATCGAGAAAATTGAGTAATCGAAATTCAACTCGTACGAGTTCTACTTACATTGTAGAATCTAACATTTATTGTTAGTAAATTGATAATAAAAAATCTTTATTATGAATCTTTGAAAACAATTGATTAATTTATAATACCAAAATAATAAATTCCTGAAAGTTCTTTGGTGGACAGATTTTTTTGTTGTTGTCTTGTTGAAATACAAGGCTTGTTTATAATTGAACACAGTCATCTATAACATTTATTAAGTTTATATTATATCATGACCAGTAGACTAAAGGCAGTAGTTATGTGTTTTTTACTAGATCAATATTGAGAAAATTGGCCTTTTTTTCAATGTAAGATTATGAGCAGAAGTCCTCTTTGACATTTCTGTAAAAAATTGCCTGTAATAAATTCTCTACAGAAAACCCTGATTTTGTAACAATGTATGCCATTTGATTTTCTATTTACTGTCAATGACTTTCATTTTACTAATCATTTGAACTATGAATAATTTTCAGAAATTGCAAACTTTTTGCACATACATAACTTACTCTCTTAAAGATAATTTAAAGTTGTTGATTTAATTTACCTTGTGAAACTGACATTGTACAATATTATGTTTGTACCTCTGTGAATGGTTAAGGTTTCTGACCTCAAATCACTCTCCCTGTGTGATGTTGTTGATAAGAATCCTGTCAGGAACTTAATTTGGATTACCATGAGGAAACTATCAGTAAGCTTATAATAGGTTGGTTGTTCTATCACTATAATCAGGTTGCAAGCTTGTTTCAGTATTGTAAAGCTTGAGAGTGGCAATACAACCTTGTTTGGATACTCTTGAAATGAAGGGACTAAACAATGAATTTGGAGTTGTGTGGCATGTTTGCCCTAAATGCAAAAAGACAAACTAATACAAATTCTAGATCAGCATTAAATATTTACATAAAACAAAAGCAAAAGTGACTTAAAACATTATTTTGTTAAAAATCATGTCAAAAATATTTCAAAACTATAAAATCATTGATTTTATGAATAAAAAATCTGTTTTTGGAGTGTTAAAAAAAATGTTCGAAAGTAAAAAAAATTCACCTCATTTGTCATTTTATTTTTATTTTGTGGTCGACTGATCAAAAAATTGAATTTTATTTTTATTTTTATTTATCCCCCCCGACCCAATTTTTTAAAAAAATGTCCCGTAAAACATTTAATAAAAAAATGTTGGCCTAACCCTACCTGAACGAAAAACTTTTTATGGTCGCAGACATTGAAGCTTTGTCCATCAAAATATCATATAGCAGAAACAAATTTTAACTAGCCCGAATATTCTAACAAAAATTGTGACCAACTTTAATCTGGAGAAAATAATGTAAAGTGACATCACTTAATTAACTTTATAATTTCTGATATTCTTAGACAGGGTGTACTGTAGACTGAAACCCAAGGGTCAATTTATTTCATTTTTAACTTATGGCATCGTAGCCTACTCAGAAAAAAATCAATATGCATATGCCTCTTGGTCATTATAAATACAACAGGTGTAAATGCCTTATAAAAAATTATTTTGGAAAATTTCCCTCAGTCATTCTAATGTATTTTTTTCGGATCTCAAAACAATTCTAGACTGTCGGACTACAATCCCTACATTTTATGCTAGCCCGAATGGAATTTTACTAGACTGGGGCTCAGGGTTTGTCTATTTTTCGCAGACTGCTACAAATAAACTTTACAATTATTTAATTTTTCGGTAATTTCCTTGTGTTGTAAGTAAGTAACGACTTTATTTCAGGAGGCTAACACATTCAGTTTCCCGATCTTCCATGCGGGCCTCAGTACATACAAAACAAAATAAAATACAAAATACAAAAAATACAATTATAAAATAAAAAAAAAAGTTAAAGAAAGCTAAACTTCTTATTGCTAGCTTTAACTTAGATATTTATTTTCGCTTTAACTTAGATGTTTATTTTTGGATATGTAACACTTTTCGGATGAATCCGGGTCAGCTCGGCCCTAAAACGTACTCGGCCCCCGAGTCAGCTCGGTCCTATTCCAACTCGGCACGGGTCAACTCGGCCCACTTTTCAATTATTAATATTTAGTGTGTTATCACTATTTATTGTAATTATGGTAATTATTTATAATAGATCTACACGGATTGACAGTTTCCGAACTAGCAGCAGACAGGCTTTTCTTATCAGTAGAGATAACTGATTGCGTATCTCACTGTATTTCTGACTTGTGGTAGGTTTAACCGTAAATTTAAATACCTTCAGTGTCAAAGAATATATACCGAGAGAAAGCTTAGATTACCAGCTTTTTAATTGATGTAATAAATTTTAAAATAGGACATTTAATCGTCCTAAACTAGCGATAATAATGTTACTTTAAAAACAAAATACATCTAAGGAAACACATTTTTATTAGATCTATATTAATTTTATCTGCAAGACAAATAAATAAAAAAAAAATTTTCTAAATATATTTTATTTCGGCAGAAGTACAATATTATAAAATAATAAGATATTTCTTATCATTCATTTACCTTAACAACATGCAAAGCAAAGTTAATACGTTATATATATTTTTGTTAAGTGGGCCGAGTTGACCCGTGCCGAGTTGACCCGTGCCGAGTTGGTATAGGGCCGAGTTGACTCTTTTCCTTTCGGATACGCTATGAAAATACGCTGCTTATTTAAAAAGGTATGTCTTATAAGCTAAATAAACAAGAATAAAGGCAAAAAATATATCAGAATTTCTTATTCAGTTACGATAACAAAAAAATGTGAATCTGGAGATACAAAGGCATGCGAATATTCATTACAAGCACTTCCACTTTAATGGTGGAAACAGTATTTGGTGGCATTCAGTGTGTAAAGCAACAAATTTTCTGATTACATTTGAATGGGCAAGGGCGCGGAACCAAATGGGAGTATTAATAACTATAATTGTAACATGGACTGCATGGAGGGAGTCGGGTAGACTGTCATTTGTCTGTGGAATGTCTATAACCATAAAATGTTTTCAGTGCAGATCGAGACCCAGGGTCTAAACAAGGAATATTTACAGGGTTCATTCCGTTTTCTTAAATTCATTACAAGCTTTACTTCTAGAATATATCGATACTCGGGAGACTGCATGGTTGTCCAAAATTATAAAAAAAAATGGAAAGGACTAGGTGTCGTAATGATCGGTCATAAACCTCCGTAGAATTGTAACTGGACTAAATATTCATTGACTACAACACATACAAGATTAAAATATATGAAACAAACAGTTAAATTTTCGCTGAAAAGAAAAAGGTAAACACGTGGGTTACAAAAAATTATCAACTTTTCGTCTTTTAACTTAATTTGAAAGATAAATATGATTAAAAACTATAACTAATGTAATAATCAAAGTTTAATTATCATTTTTAATAATTAATATGACATTTAAAATTGCTGTGAGCACGTTTAAAACTGAAATTTAGTAAGATAATTTATTAACACACCATCTCGTAAGCCGAGCACACCGGAAAAGGATGTGTAGTGATACGAGATTTATAATTAGCGAAATGAACCGAAAACATCGTTAAAACGAAAAGTTCTTTAAATGAAAACGTTCCTGGCAGCCTACAACATGTTCAAGATACACCTGTATTGTAGATATGCGCTGATACTATCATCTTCTCTGCTTAATACTGAGGAGTCATTATTGATCAGTCAAGACCTTTCATGGACCAAACAAAATTAAATCAAAAGTAAATAACTCCTTAAATAGATTCATTAGAAGAAATGTTAAAACCTTAAATAAACAGATAAAGAAAACTGCAAATACAATCTATATAAAATTAATAGACCAGATCAGCTGCTAGATATATTTTAATGATTTTACAAGTAGTGTCTCCAAAATGATATCCGGCCTTAGTTGGCAAACCCTTGAGCAGCGTCGGAACACCAGTGCTGTAACCTACTCGTATAAAATTCAAAACAACATTGTCTTTGTTGACCACCAACACCTTAAGTACTCAAATAAGAAATCATTATCATAAAAAATATTTCTTTCCTAGGAGCATACGTTTTTGGAATAGCCTTCCCCTAAGTGTTCAGTGTGTTTTAAATTAATAGTCTTGTAGAACTTTTATTATCTTATCTTTTTAAATTTGCATATATATAAATAATATATTTATTAACAGTTTCATGACAATGCGCCTGCTAGTCATTATCAAAATTGATTGTTAAGCAGTATCGTGTAAATATGGAAGATGTAGAATTGGTAGGAGGAATGCAACTTGCTAGTAATTACTAATGAAAGCTAATATTATTTCTGTAGAATATAAGAGTGATACTGTGAATAGTATAAAATGCAAGCATTTAGGATTCCTTGTTTTGGTTTCATAAGATCATGAAGTTTGTTATTTAACTGATTTAAACACTATATTTTATATGCAGTCTTGTTCTGACATGATGTCGATCTTAAAACTAACGGTGACAATACGACCGACATTATCTTTATTATGAGCATGACGCTATGAATATGAATATAAATCTGTAAGTGTACATAATGAATATGGGAATATACTTATGGGACTCCAAAGAGGTTTTTATGACATGACTGTAAATATTTTGCCAGAGTTTTTTTTATTAAATCATTTGATGTAATTCTATGCAAAATTTCATACCCTTCGCACTACTGTTTTTCCTGAATTATTAATACTGTTGTACAAAATCATTTGACAATGCAGTGTTAAAACAATCTTAACTTAAATCGGGCTTCTAATCGCACTAATGGTCGATTTTCAATTAAAGTCTATGTATATTTCTGATTCATCTTTCTCTGTCAGTTGATCAATGAATGATTCTCAACTTTTATGTTTTTAAGCTTTTTGACCCTAGTGGTATACCTTTAAGAAAATCAATAGTGCATATCTTATTAAAATACACAGCGGACAGTATGAAAGAATTGCAAAAAAATCGTAAGTTTTAATTAATGCTAGATAGCAAGCATTACAGGACGACCATGCATTTCCTTAAAAATGGCCTTTTCGTTTAAAACAATTATTTTCGTTATTTGAGTGAAAAACACACACTTAGATTAGATTTGAATGATATTTTGTAGTAATGTCCAATTTGAAGTACATTAAATGTCGTTTATTTAATTTCACACATAACATATCTAATTAAGTCATAAGGAGGAAATTTTACTCCTATTAGTATGTAACTACTTTATCACCAAAAAGCAGTAAATTGCCTTTTTGCAGTACGAAGAAAAAAACTAACCCAATCTAAAATAATTGAAAGAAATACTGGTTTATCAAGTTAGGCTCCAAAACCATAAAAGGTGACTGTCAGAGTATTGTTCATTGATATGCACGGTATGAATGTATCTTATTCAAAGAAGCAAATTATTAGTTTTAACATTTGCCGTTCACGAGAAAAATGATAAGTAAACGATTCCTTTTCAGTACTTAATTATAATGCTTTTAAACTGGTAAATGATCCAATACGCCTCAATCATGAAGCATTTTATCAGCACCCATACGTACATTACAGCTTTTTGTAAATTCATATATGGAATTACAAAAAAGACCACATCACTTGCTTTGCAAAAGAAAATTGGGGCATGTCTTAAGGGAGGCTGTAGAAGAAGAAGAGGAAGAAGGAAAAGAAGACAATTAAGAAGAAGGAGAAACAAAGAAGATGTTACATTATATGATATAAGAACCCGATATAAATGTAACACACCTATGATTTATGAGGAATGGGTGGCTAGTGGCTACATATTTATGCTTTATTTATCGTTCAAACTTCATTATTGGTGCAAGTGTATAAAAATATTGCTTGAATTTTGAAAATTAATACATCCAAAATGCCTTTATGAAAGTAATTTGTAAGTAATTTTAATTTAAAAAAAGCGAATAGCGCATGCAAGAAATCATTAGAAACGGTTAAATTAAACCCTACTTAAAATGATTTTTGAGAATCGTTCATAAGATTATGTAAACTATACATTTTTACTGTTAATAAATTAGATAAGCATGCATGTTTTAAAACGAATGAGATATAGTTGTAAAGATAAACATTGAAAGTGGTTCCATCAACAAAAGCAAGTGATTTCCGTTTGACGTCACCTCATTTTACAAGTCATGCTGATAGTGTCGTCTGGAAACATTTTATAAGTCATGCTGGTAGTGTTGTCTGGAAACATTTAATAAGTCATCCTGGTAGTGTTGTCTGGAAACATTTTATAAGTCATACTGGTAGTATCGTCTGCAAACATTTTACAAGTCATGTGATAATATAGTGTCGTCTGGAAACATTTTACAAGTCATGCTGTTAGTGTCGTCTGGAAACATATATCATGATGAGTTTTAAGCCGCGTCTTTGATGTGAGGTCATATGCCGACTGGGGAAGGAAGCTCTCAGGTACCCTCACCTGCATTATTTCAGGCAATTGGGTAGAAACAACGATCTTCCAGGCGTTAAATGGAAGGATCCCTCACTGTTGGTATTCAAAATCACATGAGAGAGGGGCGTGTGATTGGTAGGGAGTGATTTACCTTGACCATGCGACCCTGGGCATCCCATTGTAACACTATTAGACTCACTATGTTATGAACAATTATTTAATTCTGTAACAGTGTAACAAAAATTGTTTTTGTCTTTTTTATTACATAAATAAACTTGTATTGAATAACTGTTCAAGTTCGCTGTATTTTTATACTAAAATATTTTATTACATATCATTAAAAATGTAACAAGATTCATCAATATCACTTTGGTTTAATATTAAGTATTGTTTTAAGAAAGTACAAATGCCAAGAACAATCTTCTGTAAGTTCGGGGTGAAATGCTGTTGAAATAACACTCCCTTGTTGCGCAGCAACAATAACGGTCTCATCATTCTTCCGTAACGTTGCCAGAATCTTAACTTCCGGTAGATGACATTTCACAATGGCAGGTGCCCGTATGAAAATCCCAGGATATGTGTCATTTTTCACTATTTCTTTCAGCTCACTGTCCTGTAACTGAATTGAAGATTCGAAACTGTGTACTTGACGTCCAAAATAGTTCCGTGACACTTCAGTATTCATTATTGCAAGCTGAAAAAGAGAAAAGAAAACCACTCAACTTAACATTATTATATTCATCATGTACCCGTGTCGCTTTTGCGACTCCTTGAAAATTGGTATTGAATTGCAGTGCAAGTATTTTGATGCGACGTCATTTGCCTTATACAACAAACATAGCGTAAAGATGCTAAATGTTAATGTTATACTAAAACCACGTTATATGTCATAACTTTATAGAAACTGATTCCACTGGTACCCCGGTTTTCTTAAATGATGATACGAAAAAATGAAAATTAGGTGAATATTTCAAATTTTAAAAGAAAAGAAAAGTAAATTTTGGAAAAAATAAAAAAACAAAAACATAAACCCAAGATTGCCCACCCAATTTTTTTGGGTTTTCAGTTCCCTTCTCGAAAAAAGAAAACATTCCTGCGCAAAGTGCCCCCCGGGAACATGACGATCGTTTTGAATCCATTTTCTCAAAGGTTCTTCCATTTCGTTTCTTTTCAGATAAATACTAATCGTGGTGCTCTCACCACCTGGAATAATGAGTCCATCCAGTTCATGTGTGAGATGTTCAG